ACATCTTGTGAGGAAAGTCACAATGCCTTTCTTATCATGACCAGGCACCTCCTTACCATCCTGTGGTGGTGATTAACCAGACACAGCTGTGACACAGCTGTCTTACAATTATGCATACTTTTGACTCCTGCCCCAATTCTTCCCCTATTAAACCTGAAGCTCAACTCAGCACCCCAAAGATGGGCTGACATGCTTACTCCGCCTCCCTACAGCACATAGTAAATGTCCTTTCTCTGCCCTTCACCACTACTTATCTCTTTTTATCTGGCATATTTGGGTGAGTGACCGACCCTGACATGTTGGAATCCAGAGAGTTGGACCTCTGGGTGACTTGATACATAGATTCTGACTGAATTCAGAAAAACCAAACCCAGAACCAGACAAACTCAGGACTAAAGGAGCCAACACAGCTTGGTGCGCCCTTTAGCCTTCTCCAACCATTTAGTTCCAACTGGAACTAAGACTGGTGGAAATAAATGAGATCCAATACAAATAATACAGAACTTCTAGGATCACAACTCAGTGGACTTGTGGAGAGAATAAACATATGTCTTACTTGGAAATCAAATCCACTGAATGGACTATGACATCATCTAAGCACTCATATTGCTGTCTGGCTCCGTGCCTCCTTCTTCCATCTTGGGATGGCATAGAGGCTATAAAACAATCAGCAGCCCTCTCAAGAAGGATCTGCTTTACATTCTTTATCATTCTGCTTATTTGGCCTGCCTGGACCTCTGCCCACAGGCTGTTAGAGAACTGAAGTCCAGGCAGGAAAAGAACTGACTCTTCATGGATTCATTCCTTCAGTACCAACAACCAGCTCATCTGCTATTAGTGAGATTGCCAAGAGGTAACCATAGAAAATCAAAACAGTTATTGTAAAACTATGGGGCTGCAAAACCAGGGGTTTATTGATTTGTTCTTGAAAAGGTTTAAGTCACCTAAACCACTGCTGGCTTGGAAATCTTTCATGGACTCCAATTTCCTTGTAGAATACATTGGAGCCAATATTGCTCCTTCTGAAGACAAGCCTGAGATAAAGGGACTTTGTGATAGAAACCTTCCCCCAATGAATACAGAGGTCTTCTCTACCTCCCCAAGGCAGAGAAAACCATCCATGCTATCAACTAGGTTTATAACAAGGGCATCTGGCCCAATCCTCTCACAGAGTGAGGGAAGCAAATAGTTCACAAAGAGGCACAAAGTAAGAAGTGTGCATCTGAATTGTGATCCGGCACTTAAACACTGGCTATTTCCCTTCTGCATGAGTTCTATAGAAATAAAGATGGACAAGCCCAGAGTCTAACTCAGTACTATCTTCCACTGCAGGTGACACAGGCACTTACCGTGTCCAGGGGCCAAGTTCAATTTCCAGCACCAAAAAAAAAAAAAAAAAAAAATTATCCTCCCACCCACTAACAGTTTTCATTTAGTAAATACTCATTAAATGATTTTTGAGTGAGTGTGATCATACACTCTGCCTTGTGAAAGTTTGCTGTGTGTTAGGAAGAAAAAGATTACTGACTCTCAGAGGAATAAGAAGAGATGTGGCTTGGACCAGCTATGAACCTTGGGGAAGCATTTTAACTCCATGGGTCTCATGACATGAAGGCATTAGACACTAGCTGATGTCTAAGATCTGTCTCAGCTTCTTAAATTTAAATTCTGAAAATCAAAAAAAAGCAAAACTTCTGAACAGGCATGGTGGCTCATGTCTACAATTCCAGTGACTTGGAAGGCAGAGATCAGTTTGAGGCCAGACCATGCGGAAAAAAAAAAAAAACTGAGACCCTATATCAACCAACAAGTCAAGTGTAGTGTCATGGGACTATAATCCTAGTTACTAGAGGCATAAGTAGGAGGATTGCCATCTTAGGCCAGTCTCAGGCAAAAACACAAGACCCTATCTGAAAAATAGCCAAAGCAAAAAAGGGCTGGGAATGTGACTCAAGTCTTAAAGTGCCTGCCTAGCAAGCTCAAGCCCTGAGTTCAAACTCTAGTACCATAAAAACTTTGTAGAAGTGCAAAGTCAGTAGAAAACACTTCTTAGCAAGAGCAAAACAGAGCACCTTGTTAGCTAACCACGTTTCAGCATTTTAGCCAAAACCACTCCAAAGGAAATCTCCATTAGCCTTATTTTGTGGCATTCTATTTTTAGGATAAATGGGAAGAAATATGTCCAGAAGTTAGTACACATTCTGAGTTTTATTGTATTTAACCCACATACTATATTTAGCTTTAATCAAAGAAAACTGAGATTTAAAACAAAACAGTCCTAAAGCACTGAGAACACCATTATCAAGGGAAGATTTCAGATATGTGGTGTTAACTCTAATATATTTAACAAGGTCTGTGCTCATGCTAACTTGAAATGGCAATACGATGATAGGGTTGGAGTTCTGTGGGAGTTTTTTCCCAAAATATGTTAAGTAGGGACTGACCTGAATAACATTCTAGAACACGCCCTCTTGTGGCAACAAACATGCAATTGCCAAACAGACTTTTGTCCTGAGGCAGTACCAGACAGATAATGGTAGCTGTCATTTCAAGGCCTTACTGCATTTCAAGAATTGTCCCGGATTTTTCACATGGCAGCAATAAATGCAGTTTTCAATGTCATGGAGAGAACTAGAAGTCTTGTTTCAGGTGAGCTCAAAGCTATAACTGAAGGTTTATCTCACTGAGTGCTATGGTTTAGATCTTAAGTGTACCCCAAAGGTCCATGTGTTAGGGCTCGGTCCCCAACTTGGTGACACTGGGAGGTGGTGGAACTTCAAGAAGTGGGGTCTAGTGGGAAGTCTATGGGTCACTGGGGGATATGTCTCGAAGATTACAGGACCAGTCTCCCACACACACCCTTTTCTTTCTTTTTCTTTTTTCTTTTTTTTAATCCCTGGCCAGGAGGCAAATGCTGTTACTTCATCACAGGCTCCACAATGATGTGCTGTCTTGCCACAAGCCCAAAGCAATGTGGCCAGTAGGTTATGGACTTAAACCACCAAAACAGTGAGCCAAAATAAACCTTTTCTCTTTATAAATTTATTTACTTCAGGTATTTGCTACAGTGACCAAAGCTGATTTACACACTAAGTACAGTTTCTCCCTGGGTATACCTGTAATCAGGGGCACAGCTAACATCAGCACCTTTTCCTGCTGCATCAGTGCACTTGTTTGGTATTGGTATTGAGAAGCTCTGTAAGTCATACTTTATTTCCTGCTAATAAACCCTGATTTCAGGTTGGCAAAATGAAGACAGAAGACAAGAAAGAAAGTGATATGAAAAAACAGAAGGCAAAGGAGTGGGAAAACACAGATCAATACATTATATAAAAGAAAAAAAATCCGCAGAAGTTCCAGAATCTTACAATCCAAACAAATTTAGTTAATAACTGAGATTTGAGAGGCAGTTAATGGACAGCAAAAACACTTATTCATATAATTACAGTTTGTAGTTCTCAGTAATCCACCTTATCCTTTGTTCCCTCTGTGCCTTATACAGTGAGTTTCTGTACTCAATTCTCAAACGGCTGGCTAAATAGTACCAAGTGCCGATGCTTGTCACAAACATGGGTCTGAGGAGACAAATATTTTCATACGTTCTGATTCTGAGTGCTCACTCTCTTCCTTAGGGAGTTGGTATCTCAGCACTGTCCACAGGGTGATCCCTCACAAGAGGTCACAAACTCAAATGCTTAGTTGCCACTCAGTCCCAGGTTCTTATGTGCGAGCAGGCTCTGTGTGATGATCCTCCAATGGTTCTTTTAGCATATATTAATTGTACAAAATAATGAGTTTCATTTTGAAGTTGTCATATGGTATATACTGTACTTTGTTCATGTCCACACCCCATTACCTTCTATTGTCCCCCCTCCAACTTCTTAAAAGAAACTACAGTGCAAGACTTTTATGCAGAAACCTCCTGATTTTTAAATTTTGAACCTTTAAAATACAAAAAAAAAATCAGGCTATATATGAAATACTGTCTGTACTAAATGAAATAGATTTTCTGCCTAGATGTGTCTGTCTGCTGTAAGAACTGCTTTCAAACTAGTCCTCGGACACATCTTCTTGAATAGGTCCTGAGGACTGTGACAAAGAAATTCCAGAAGAAGAAAGCTGGTCAGTGCTTCTGATGCTCTTCACGTTGCTGTAGACATCTTGCTGAGGCAGATGTATTATCTCACTCACTAAGTTCTATATTTGACATGGTCCCATTATTTGGATATTCCTGCCTGTTTCCCAGAATATGAGAATTTGCAATGTCTATTGTAAAACATTTCTTTGGTCTCTCCATAACCACTCAGGGTCATGACTTTTTCTTTGTGGTCATTAAAACCTTGACCTTCAGCAAAACCCATCCCAGTCTTCTGAACCTTCTCGAATGAAGGTTGCAAAACCTTCTGCAAGACAGAGGTGCTCATCCACACAGCACAAATGTGAACTGAGGTCAATGTGTCAGTATGCTTTCAGCAATATGAGGAGAACCCACCTTCTCACACCTTTCCCAATGAAGGAAGGTAGAGGAGGAAGATGAGACTAGGTTTTCATTTAGAAGTGGGCATGTCTGGGTGGCTGTGGCTTCAGAATTTGAATCTCTGCTATCTTGCATAAATGTAAAAGGTACATGTTTAATAAGTTCAGTAAGCACTGCCTCAGCTCAAAACATTCTTGACTACACAGCTGTCCTACATCAAAACAGAGTAGGAAAAAGCCACATGTTCTCAGAGCATCCTATGCAAAACACATGGGAAATGCTTCACACTTTCTCAGAGGGACAACTAAAAAGAAAATGTCTCCATTTTGAAGTTCCAGTAGAAAATCAGGATAGAACTTCTTGGCAGGGCAAGAATAAATGGCTAGCAGGTATCACTCAACATCTCAGAGCCAGCTGGCCGAACACCAAGAATCCTACTATTTTACATACAATACAAGTTACAATCTCAGCAGCTTTCAGGGGCCAATGTTGTGGGAGTTTTGCTGTTTCCTTTTCAGTTTCTTTAAAAGATGAATGGAATAAGGGCTTTCCGAGACTTGGGGTAATCTTCAAATGTCTTGAGATAAAACCTAAAAGATAGAAAAGGAGTAATTATAAATGCAACAGAGCCGTTGACAGCAGTTGAGGTTGGCTGTGCTGAAATCCTGGTTACAGGTGAGCCTAGCTATTGAGCACCTGGCTGTCCCAGATGGCCATTTGTTCATCATCCTTGCCTTTTCTTTTCATCTTGCTTCTTGTGTTGAGAAATAAAATAACCAGAGGGTCAGAGGGTAGTGGTAATGATTGCACAATATTATAAATATACTCAATGTCAATGAATTTTACATTTAAAATTTTTTAAATGGTAAATTTTATGTTATGCATATTTTATCAGAATTTTTTAAAGATAATAGAAAGAAGTACCCTTTTGGATTAAACTAAGAAATATAAGAAACCAGAGATTCCCAAAGAGTGTGGGTAAAATTAATCCCAGACAATTGGCAATGTTTCTAAGAAAGTTTCTCTTTGTGAAACCTGGTAGTGCCCTTGTATGATGGGTTCAATTTTTGTCCCCCCAAAAGATAGGTTGAAGCCTTAACTCCCAGAACCTCAGAATACAACCTTATTTTGGAACTAGGCTCATTACAAACATAATTAATTAAAATGGGGTTATATTGGAACAGGTAGGCCCTTAAATCAATATGGCTGGTGTCCTTAAAAGAAGAGAAAAAGAGACAGAGATGGAGACACACAAGAGAGAAGGTCAGGAAGTCAGAGGCAAAGATTAGAGTGAGGCAACTACCAGACATGGGGCACCAAGGATGGCTGGTGTCTACCAGAAGCTGAGAAGAGGCAAAGAAGGGTTGTTCCCTCAGACCATCCCAGAGAACATAACCCTGACTACACCTTAATTCCAAACTTCTGGCCTCCAGAACTCTGATGGTCATTTCTCATGGCAGACCAAGGAGACTAATGCATCTTGTACCAGGTGTCCCTCTTAACTAGTTGAAGCTGGTTGTCCTCAAGACATAATCAAGACAATATACTCTGCTAAAGTACCTTACTTTGAAGTAGAGGACAAAAAGCAATAATATGTACAAGGGGCTGGTCTTCAGTGCTGTGATTTCAGAAGACTCTGTGTGGCCTCCTCTGTGATTGCCTGACCTCATTCCATAAGCACTTTCACAAAGCCCTTTTAGCCTTATAAAAAAGATTCCCTCTAGCCCTACCTCTGAGCAGTCCAACCCAACCAGATGGCCTCCATTTGGATTTTGTTGTTGCATCAGATGGAAAATTCTAGTGAAATTGCTGTCCTTCCCCTGACCAAATATAATAGAGTCTGCACTTCTCAAGACCCTCCAAGTGTTGGGTGATGCCCTTACCTCCCCAATTATCTCTCTGCCTTTGATGGATAACAGACCTGCCTGAAGTGGGAGAACTGTTATGATGACTCTGTCATATGAACCTCTTGCACCCTTCCCTCCAAGTCTACGATGTAGCAGGAATAGGTCATGAAGAAAACTGTTGCTTCATCCATTTCTGAACTCATCTCATAAATTCCACTCAGAACCTTAAAAACTATGTGACGAATCATTAGGGAGGCTGAGACACAAAGGCAAGAGCTTGAGGGTGTCCCCAAGATTCTAGGTCCAAGCCTGTCTCTCTATGGTCATCCATACCCTCCCTCTGAATCTGTAGTAATCACAGGCTTTCATTTTCCCCAAAAGCCATATTAGGGAATGGATCACCCTTGGGTTTAAAGCTAGTAACAATTTAATAAGTTACCCTTTCTCTCCAGTGATATTTTTAGTTACTTCTTTTGTCCCCACCCCACCCTCGACTAGTGGGATTAGCTTCACTAAGCTCCTCTACTACCAGCAGATTGGGCAGTCCTCAAATTGCACCCCACACAATTACTTATACTACATGCCAAGGAAGTCAGTGATGGCCTTGGCTGAGTTATGGAGGGTTGGGGTAAGGGAAGGAAGAGAGTCCAGAGCAAGCGCTGGTAAATACACAGATTCCAGGGTAAATAACACTTCAGCAGTTTATGGGCTCTATGGTCACCTGCACTGTTAGCACAAAACCTTGATTAAAAACGGTCCCCAAAAGAGTAGCCACACAGACACCATGCTATTGACTTTTGCCAGTGGTTCTCCATCCTGGGTGCCCCTCAGAATTATCTGTGAAGCTTTGGGAAGTGCAGGATATAGTCTCATCACTTCAGAAAACATGGTAGAAGGGGACTGAATTGAAGCATAGAATTGGAAGTTAGTTCTTTTGCCTTTTATCATTTAACTACAGCTCCCTGACAACCAGTAACTAGCACCAGATGCAGAGCCTGGGTCAACCAATCATATGGATACAAGGAACTCCTCCCTGGGAAGTCCTCTTCAATAAGGCAGGTACAGTGACTTCCTAACTGTCACCTCAGGCACCTCTGTCTACCTGGACTTACTTTTGCTCTTAGGGGAAAAAATTTACTGCTACTGTCATACAGCTAAATTCCAATGTCAGTAAACGCCTCAAAATTCAGAATTTAACAATCCTGTTTATTGTTCCAAATTCCCATCATGAAAATAAATATCTTAGGTTTCTAAATCTGACTCCATGTGCTAAAAGCCTGTTCCTGGAGAAGAAAGCTACATTGGATGCTGCCACCTCAATTGAAAACTTACCTATGGTGGTGAAAAGCTCGCAGCCCAAGGAAACAAAGTGAGAAAAATGCAAATGCCAGTCCTGGAAGGGACCAAGTGGCCAAGGCATAACCCGTCCATTCAATGATTTCACCAAGGAAATTGGCTCCAGAAACAAATGTAAACAAGCCACCTGTGTGCAGAAGAATCAAAAAGTCAATATTCAGAACTGAATCATTGCAATATTATACCCCTCCATTTTGTTCCAAAATATACAAAGGTAGCCAGAACAAATGTGGGGATGGAGACTTCTTCTACAGTCATAGGGAAATGCTTAGTGTCCTCTGGGGAGAAGGGAAAACAAAGCAACCTCAGCCTGTTGCCCATAAAACATTCGGGAATCCTGTGAGTAGCCCCACCTACTTGATGGGCTCCATCCAGATCTCTAACAACTGTGGGACCACTAGATTTGTCAGGACAAGGAAGAGGTGCAGGTCTGCTTTATGTTTTTGTTCTATTAATAGACATTATCAGACTACTTCTCACCTTCCCAGTCCTTCCCTGGTCATCCCCGCTGCCAGTCAGTATACCACACATTCAGTCATACAAAGTGAAAATATTATAGTAAAATAATGAAAATCTGCATTGATATGTGAGAAGTAATTAATTCTCTTTGGGCATTTGCTCCTACCTCCTCATCCAGCCCCCTAAACCTCTGCAAAACTTTATACTCTGATCAGGGTTAAAGCAGGGAGGATTATTCTTACTGGAAGCTGGGGAGGTCTGCTTCTAGAAATTTCAAATGTTTCGTTTTCTATCCAACCAGGTATTTCCTCTCTCAGAACTATATCTAGAAATCAGCATATTTCTAACGATATTAAGTATATCCACACTCAAACTTTATGACCCATATTAAACTGGGGAAGGCTGGACCAAAACATTTTTTTCCTATAGTTGTATAAAAATGTCATTTTAAAATCATTCTCTATCATAACTTGAAATTGAAGACTAATCTTGGCAATCCAGTTTTGAAGAAATTTCTTTGTTCATCTCTATTTGTCTAGTTATTGAATGAAGATTTTAAAATATCAAGACCCCTTAAAATCTTCTTCCTTAAGGATAACATTGTATCAAGAGTTCCCTGTCTGACCTTGGGAGCAGCCACTGATCTATTGCAAAGGGTCCATAAAGTATTTGTGAATACAGTGAATAATGTATCTCAACCTACTGTGTTGTTGTTATTTGAGATACTATCAGGGTACAAACAATAATCAAATCATTAAAATGTGTTACTGAATTCATCGTAGCATTATCATTGTTTTCTTAATCAATTGGTATCAATCTACACTAAAATCATTCAGGAAATTTTTTCTATAAATAAAGGGTTGTATTTATATCAAGAAGGGTGGGAACCACTGACCCACCTAATATATTGAAGGATTACTTGAGCTAAATCGTTTTCACCTGCTTATTTGTCATTTCTTAGGAACAGTTAGGATTTCAAATATTCTGCATCTTTATCTCTAAGAAATGTGCAGTCATGGACTACATAATGACAGTTCAGTCAACAGTAGATTACATACACAATGGTGCCCTGTTAGATGATAATGGACCTCAAAATTCCTATCACCTAGTGACATCACAGCCTTCATGTTGTCATAGCAAAGGACAATGCTCATGTGTTTGTGATCATACTGGTGTAAACAAACCCACTGCACTGTCAGACATATAAAAACCTAGTCCATGTAATTATATACAGGACACAATATTAGATCATGATAACAGACAATTACATTATAGCTTATATAGTTACCTTTCTAAAGCTAAGTGTAAAAGACTCTAAAACAAGCATTCCAGAAAAAAAACATTGTTATCGCAGGAAATAACAGCTCCACGTGTGTTACTGTCCCTGAAGACCTTCCAGTGGAAGACAGTGATATTAATGATCCTGTCCCCGTGAAGGCCTAGGCTAATGCGTGTGTTTGTGTCTTAGTTTTTAACAAAAAAGTAAAAATACGTCGAACCATGTAGCCCAAGTGTGTAGTAGGCTGTACCACCTAGGTTCTTGTAAGTACACTCTATGATGTTCATATAATGATGAAATCTTCTGCTTGATGTGCTAATTCATAAAGGATCCCACTCTGTGGGTGACAATCTTATCTACTACAACTATGTTATAGCCTATCCCCATCTACCCTAGCCTGACACCCCCACCTTCAGGGCACTGTGATCATCCTTCTTGAGGGTTCTTGTAGCTCTCTTGAGCTTCTGGGTTCAAACCAGAAATGCAGATGTGCTATGGAGGTACCAGGCATGGAGGGGATGCCAGGGGCAAGCCAGGACATATTTATTACATATCTGAGCCTTTGATGCAATAATAAAAGCCTTTCCATTTATTGCTCATGGTATAATTCCTGGGACAGCCCCAAGGAAGAACGCGAGCTGCAAGGCAGAGAGGCACTACCTTGTGGAATCCTATAGATGACTTCTCCAGGCTTCCTGAGCTGGCGTAACAGGTAGTCACTGTGCATGTTGATGCCCATTCCCAAAATGAATAGGAAGACACCTTGGCAAAGAAGAGAAGGGATAAGTCAAAAAAATGTGCCCTGATTTTTATTTTCTTCACACAACCTAAGACTTTTTTTCCAAAAATGAAAGGAATAATGGTACTAAGATATGGTCCTAATCACTGGTGAAGGAGGAGTTGTACTGTTTCCTAAACCAAAATGCTGCATGCACAGTGATGCATGATGGACACAAGAGGACCACAGGAGGTGGCAATATTGTGTGCTACTTAAATAATTAATCAAATGAATGAATAACAACAATCCCTTTGCCCATTCACAAATAATCAAATAGGTTGGCTAATTCAGTGACCAATTCCACCATCTCCTCTTTTGTCATCCCCCACTACATGACCTAGTTCTGCCAAAGAAAGGTAAGGGAGAGTCCTTCAGGGACTTCCTTAGAAATCATTTGCTTTTCTAATAAAGGGAGTCAGTGGGGCCAATATCTCCACTTCCTTGTTCATTCTGCCTTGATTTCCAAATGTAATGCCTTGAGCTGCAGCCAAAGTAACAAGAAAGTGACTAACATGAAAACCACAGGTAAACAGTCTAAGAACAGTGGAGCATTAATATAGAAAGTTCCAGGGTTCTTAATGGCATCAGTAAGCAACCAAAGAATGCACAAGCCACCTTCCTTTGCACTCTTATTATTGAAGAAATATGGATTCCAAATTAAGTCACTATTAATTGTTCTGTGAACATTCCCGACTGGTGCTAGTGAAGGTAATGTGAGGTAGATTGAAGAGTTTGACCATGGCCAGTTCTCTCTGGCTCTTTCAAGAAACATGGCATACTGCACGTACTGTTCACAGCCTCATTGATTTTATTTAACCATATATGCTAGACATGTCTCCACATGTACCATCCATGGTGCAGAAAGGGCCATGGTCTCAGATGAGACATTTTAGGACCAGGGATGCTAGATTCTACATCCCAATGGACATTATTAAAGCCCAGAAATACTGTCCACACACTTCTCAACAAGGTACATTTGTGTTGGTCAAAACTGCATGAGGCAAAAAGCAAGAAGAGTTTAATTCAAACAGATCTACTCTTACCTTTGGTATGCTGTCATTTTGATATGATATCTTTTGACTACCTCATCTAGTCAAAAGATCATTGTCCTGGAGGAAAGGGCACCTGAGGGCAGAGGATGGTGGGAAAGAGGGACGGCATGCACTGAGGTGGAAAGAGACAGGGAACTTGGGCCAACTGCTTGTGTGTCCTTGACCAGTCACTTCATTTCTCTTGACTCAACTTTCCTCATCAGTAGAATGTATTTTCTAACAGCACCTATCTCACAAGAATGGACTGGAGGTTGTTCATATATTCATTCATCCATTCATTTATTCAACTAATATTCATTGAGGCACTATCCTAAGCACTGGGGATACAATAGTGACAAAAAATGGCCAAGGTATCTGTTGTCATGGAAATTACATGTTAGTAGAGGAATGTAGTCGTGAATTAAAGGAAAAAAAATCACATAATGATCACTGCACTGTAGAAAATCAAAGCAGGGTAATGGGATAGAGAGTGGGGTGGAAGGAGGGGTGTCTCTACTTTAGATGGGGTGGGTAGGGAAAGTGTTTCAGAAGACTTAACATTTGTCCTGTGACTCAAATAATAAGAAAGTGTGAAAATCTAAGGGAGAGCAACTTGATGCAGGGAATAGTAGGTGCAAAGTCCCAGAGCTGCTGAAGCACAAGGAGAGAGTGAGGACATGAACAGAGAGGACAGGATGAGAAGTAAAAAGTCCCATCAAGCAACACAGGACTTAGGGAAGGGTTTGGACTTTTCAGTGCAATCGGAAGTCATTGATAAGCAAGGGAGAAGTAGGATCTGATTTCATCACTGACTTGAGATTTGCTGGTTGTGTCCCTCAAGTCCTTCAGAATGTCCCCTTTTCTAGATATGACTGGGTTACTTCCTTTCTTCTTCTTCTTCTTCTTCTCCTTCTTCTTCTTCTTCTTCTTCTTCTTCGAAGTCATTGATAAGCAAGGGAGAAGTAGGATCTGATTTCATCACTGACTTGAGATTTGCTGGTTGTGTCCCTCAAGTCCTTCAGAATGTCCCCTTTTCTAGATATGACTGGGTTACTTCCTTTCTTCTTCTTCTTCTTCTTCTTCTTCTTCTTCTTCTTCTTCTTCTTCTTCTTCTTCTTCTTCTTCTTCTTCTTCTTCTTCTTCTTCTTCTTCTTCTTCTTCTTCTCCTTCTCTTCTCCTTCTCCTTCTCCTTCTTCTCCTTCTTCTCCTTCTTTTCTCCTTCTTCTCCTTCTTCTCCTTCTTTTCTCCTTCTTCTCCTTCTTCTCCTTCTTCTCCTTCTTCTCCTTCTTCTCCTTCTTCTCCTCCTCCTCCTTCTCCTCCTTCTCCTCCTTCTCCTCCTTCTTCTCCTTCTTCTTCTTCTTCTGGCAGTACTGGAGTTTGAACTCAAGGCATTGCAATTGCTATGTAAGCACTCTACCACTTGAGCCACTCCACCAGTGACTGGCTGACTTCCTCAGGTAGGTGTCACTTGGCTTTATCCACTGTATTCTCTGTGAACTGACATAAGTCATTTTCCTGTGTGGTTACATTATAAGTTCAAGTTCAATAAATAATGATGTACATTTGTATGTTTGTTCTCAATTTGGGGGAATTTTTTTCAATTTACTTCTTTCTTAAATAAGTAATTGTCATCATTCAAAGGACAAAACTATATTAAAAGAAAAACTGTCTACCCATCCCAGTCTTTCTGTACCCTGAGGCAGATAGGAAACTTTTATAATTCCAGTGTTCTTTTTCTTGTTACATATGTTTCCTTCTATCCCATTTCTACACAAAAAGTAGCAAATTATATACACTGTTCACACCTTTATTTTTATCCCTCTACATATCCTGGAAGTTTCTCCACATGAGCACATAGAGATCTTCCTTGTTTGTTTTGTTTCATTTTGTTCATTTTTGTTTTGTGGCCACACAATATTCTATATATGCATGCATGCAACGAATCCTTTGGTCCTTTGAGTTTTGAATGTTCACTCGCTGAATGGAGAATGGGTTGTTGAAGAACAAGATGAAGACAGGAAGCTCAATTTGAAGGTCACAGTGGATGTCCAGGCAAAACGTAATCAGGTCTTGGAGAGGCTGCAGTCATGCAGTTAAGAAGAGAGGCCAGCTGGCACATGCTCTGGAGATAGAGTCAAAAGTATTCAACTGAGGGATGGAATGTGATGTGTGAACCTAAGAGGGATTAAGGATAATCTCTATTGTTCTAGCATATTTTTTATTTAAACCTTAATTAGTGTACAAACAGCTGAGCCTTCCTGGACTTTAACTCTTCTTGCAAAATATGAAAACAATTCAATGATCAATGTCTTCAATTCTTTTAGATAAGGTGGTTAGGAAAAGCCTCTTTGAGGAGGTACAAATTGGTAGAGACTTAAACTACTAGGGACCACGCACCATGGCTAGATGGGCAGAGCATTCCACACAGAGGGAGAGTCCTGGGCAGAAGCTCACAGACAGGACAAGCTTAAAAATTTCCAGCGCAGCAGGAAGGCCACTGGAACTAACACAGAAAGTGAGGTGGAATGAGGCAGGAAAATGGGGTGAGAAATTAGAAAGATCAAGAACATTTGAGTTTCACAGGCAGTATAAAGAATTTTTGTATTTTTATCTTGAAAACAATGGAAATATATTGGACAGTTTGGGGGAATAGACAATGTCATGATTTTCTAACATTTTAAAACAATCTCTCTGGCTGCTTTATAAAGGAAAGAGTAGAGCTGGGCACCAGTGGCTCATGCCTGTAATTCTAGTTATTTGGGAGGCTAAGATCAAAAGGATTGTGGTTCAAGGCCAGACTGGGCAAATAGTTTGTGAGCCCCCATCTCCAAAATAACCAGAGCAAAATGTACTGGAGGTGTGGCTTAAGCAGTAGAGCTCCTGCCTTGCAAGTGTGAAGGCCTGAGTTCAAAACCCCAATCCCACCAAAAGAAAACAATAATAAAGGAAAGACCAGGGTAGGCTTGTGAGAGACAAAGAAAGGGATTGTGAGGAGGCTACTGTAGTAGGATGGGAACAGGCAATGGTGACTTACACCATGGGTGTTAGCTGGGAAAGGAGTGAAAGGCAGTCAGAGTCACTTACCCAAGCTAAACCGTATATCTGTGTACCACCCTTCAGGGTATTCTGCACAGTAACTCAGATAGTAGCCTTGAAGGAATCCATTGCCAATGCAGAAGAGAAATCCTTTTAAAAGGAGCACAACTGGAAAAGGCCTCCCTCTAGTGAGCAAGGAGTAAATAAAGGTCCTGGGACATAAAAGGGGAAAAGTTAGGAGCTATTAACCAAAAAATGAAAAGAAGAAAGGGAGGGAGGAAGGGAGAAAGTGAGGGAGGGTCAAATAATGAGAAGAAAATGTCTCAAACAGATACCATATTTGTTACATACAGTTTTCCATTGAGTTTGTGCAGTGGAAGAACATTACTATCTGGTTCTAGAACAACCATTTATGCTATTATTTATCTTGCTTCATTAAAATCCACAGTTGCCACCTTTTAGGGCCTCATTTTATTCTCACAACAGTCTTAAAAAGGAAATACCATCCCCATCTAGTCATTAATAAATTAACATTTGTGTGCCTGTGATTGGAGAATGGCTTTATATAAATCTAGAGAGAACTCCAGTGTTTATAGGAGGTTGGTAAGGCCTGGTTTGCCCACATGCAGCAGAATGGCATTTTGATAGCAGAGACTTGTCCATATGGCTTTCCATGTCTTTCTAATATGGTTAGTTACTGAAATTATAGTATCCCCTAGAAAGTGGACCGGAGGATCCCTTCTCTTCTTTGGTCAATATCACTGTCTGAGGGAAACAAGGCATTGTGGAGAAATAGCTCATTCCACATCGGAGGTAGGAAAATACCAGGTGAACCAGAAATGCTTTGTTAGGTTGAAAAGCAAGGGAAAAAACTGGAGATTAAAGGGAACACAGGAAGCAGTCAATAGTACCTACATACCAACTAGAAAGGGTTCTACTGGCCAAATTTGTGACAAACTAGGCATTCAAAGGAATATTGGCTGCAGCTGATTATAAACATTGAATAAATAAAAATCCTATGAGTCCATGCAACATATAAAAATTTTAAGACATTTGCTACCATTAGAGGTGACTATTACACAAAATCCTTACTCTGACAAAACATACCTAAAGGAACAATTAAGCATTTATGCTCCTACCTTCTGAAAAGGAGCTATGCTTTCATCTTCAACTGGTTGAGTAGAAATTTTCATGAGAATACAGCTAAAAAATGGAGAATGACCTTTAAATTTAGAAAACCTATCATTCACAGGATTCCAAGCTATCACCCCACAGATTAAGTGGTCTTGGATAACTTGTTTTTAAAACAACTAAGTAATACAGAAAAATAAGAAAGTCAGGCTAGGATTAAGAACAAGGTCACCATCTGAATCTTTCCTTTTTCCTTTTAGTATATGGACATCACACACAATGGCAAACTCACATAGGTTGTTGCTTCCTTTGTTCTCAAATTGAATTCTAGAAAAGTGACAGTCAATTAAAATACATGAGAACCACCTGGAGATGTGGAAGGCAATAACCCGCTGGGTGGGTAAGGGCCATGGCCATGTTGCCTGATGAAGCAGAGAACTTCAGTTCTGCTCTTGCCTCCCCTCCCTGTCCTTGAGAAGAGTATTCCCTGCCCCTTGCGTTGTGATGGAATCCTTGCAGTCACATCAGAGGAGAGCAGAAGTTCTAATGGTGTGGGCAGTGATGAAAACAGGCACAAACTAACCAGCCACCCTATAGCATAGATTCTCCCACTCCTCCCTCCAAATCCCCATGGCAAGGCCAGTGTGTTGCAATCTGAAGTCTCCTCTCCCCAGGGCTGCGTCTAAGAGTGTGACAGCCAGCTGCCTGGGTGATCTGCAGCCAGACAGAGCAGCAGTCTGTGGTGCGTGGGCCCCTGTCCTGAGTCTCATTTCTCCTGTTTCTTAAGCTCACCAGAACGGATACTACTAGGACCTGGGCTTTAGCCCTGACCTGATGCACAGTGAGACATGTTTCTCAGGAGAACATAGCTTCAGACCAAGATAATCAGACACCTGAAAAGTACAACCACTAAGAAACGATCAGCAACATTGAATATGCAAACAATATATGTAAGAAGTAAATACTGAACCACATATACTGGATAAGGGGAATTGCCCTACAGAACAATACTTCTAAACAAGCCTTTTTTTTCCCTTGAGAAAGGAACAAAATGGAGTTGGAGGTGTGGATCAAGATGTAGAGCTGCTTTGCAAGTATGAAGCCCTGAGTTCAAACCCCAACCCCACCAAAAAAAAAGAACTAAATGAAAATAAAAGATATGAAAAATACAACAGTTAAAATAAAGAGCACAATATTTAAAAGAAACAACAAATAATGTTGAGCAGACAGTTCAAGAAAGAATTACTGACTGAAGATAGAAAATGTCAGGCAAGAAAAAGAATGAATCATCAGCAGTTAGTTTTTAGATTTGCAGTTGGAAGAAAATAATTTCAGTTCAAGAAATGGAAAAACAGAAGATGTGTGACACTCAACACTTTCATTTGGAAAGATGAGCAGATGAGGCTTACAAAATAAAGTAAGAGAAAGCTGGTGGCTATAATCCCAACTACTCAGGAGGCAGAGATCAGGAGAATCATGGTTTGAAGCCAGCCTGGGCAAAATAGTTCATGAGACCTTATCTTGAAAAAACCCATCCAAAAAAAGGCTGGTGGAGTGGCTCAAGGTGTAGGCCCTGACTTCATATCACAGTACTGAAAAAAAAATTAATTAATTAGATTAAATTAAATTAAATAGGTGAAGTAGAATTAGAGCTATGCACATGTAGTCACACTACATGTCACTCTGGTTTTAAGACAAGAGACAGAATGATAGATTTTTAGAAGTAAAATCTTATCAAACTCTTTTCATTTTGTACATGAGAAAGCTAAGGCACAAAGATGTTAAACAATGTGTCAAAATTATATAGCCAATTGGTGATGAAATAAGAACAAGAATTAAGTCTTTTGATAACCCTGGTTCTCTACACTAAATCTTTCTAATTACCTGTGAATTGATATTTTCAAAAATGTACTGTCACACGTGAATGAGCAAAAAAGAGGCTCCATAGTTAAGTACAGACTCTGTTACCCCAAGAAAGACCTAGTCCCTCTACTTGCATGGTTACTTCTTCAAGCCTCAAAATGCTTAAGCACATGGTAACTCTTAAAAGGTACTCCAGTGTGCCATATTCATCACAGAACTAGAGCTCAACTTGGAAAAACACTTTCCAAAATGTGACTGATAATCTTATGCAGGTGATTGGATCTTAAAGTTTTGAGAACTGCTAGAGTTTGAACGGTGTCCCTCAAATTTCATGTTGGAAACTTAAGCCCAAGTTATATGTTAATGATATTTGGAGGTGAGACCTTTGGGATGTGATTTAATCTATTCACGGGTTGTGGTTATCAAGGGAGTGGCTTTGTTATAAAAGCGGCTGTCTCTGGCATATTTGTTCTGTCTTGCCATGTTATATTACAGAAGGAAAGCCTTCACCAGATGCTGAGCAGATGCTAGTACCATGCTGTGAACTTCCCAGTCCCCAGAACCATGAACTAAACAAACCTGTTCTTTATAAACAACTCAGTCTCAGGTGTTTTGTGATAGCAACAGAAAATGAAGTAAGGCAAGATTTTGTAAATTACAGATAACTACACACACACACACACACACACACACACACTTACACCAGCCAGTCCCACACATCTGACATCATTCATCTGACCATTTGTAGACAACAAAGCGCACACAAGTTCTAGAGACTGTCACAGACAATCACAGTTGCATTTTGGATGTGGATTCCTAGCATTAATCCTTGGAGGTTGTCTTAGATCTCATCAAAAGCAAAAGCAGGAATTTTGAGAAAAGCAATGGGCTTCAGGTCAGAGAACTTGGGTCAATGTTGCCTTACCTGGAAATGAGATCATATGCATTCCCTGTTATCTTCCAAGATTTATAAGAGGATCAAATTAGAAAAACTAGGGATGGGAATGCAGCTCAGTGGTAGCACACTTGCCTAGTATACCCAGGCCCTGGGCTCAACCCCCAGCACCACAAAAAGAAAATTTTAGATGGGCTTCCAGAGTGACTCAAGCAGTAAGAGTGCCTACCTAGCAAAAGTGAGTCCCTGAATTCAGACTCCAGTGCCACACACACACACACAAAAATTATAGAATCTATGTAGAAGCATGCTTTAACCTAGAGAGTGACTGGCAAAAGAACATAGTCTGTATTACACTGCATGTGACCCAAATTTTATAGACTTAAAACCATCAAGGTGTTCTTGAAGGCCATACTTTTCCCCTGATGACCGAAGTTCCACGTCCTCCCTCTGTGGGTTTGAACATTATCAACCCCATTGGAACAGGGAGGCTGCCTATGTGGTCTCACAATGTTCAGCCTTTTCACCATATTGTCCAGTTCCAGGCCAGTTGTTGGATCATGGGGACCTGAATTCTTTGCATTACAGAACCAAACAGGAAAAAAGAACCAGCTTCCAGTGTCACCTCCCTGGAAACTAAAGGCTAACTGCTGCCCTCTTTCCCCTTACATCTGGACTCAAGAGGGAAAATGAGACTGGGCCTGTAATGCTGGAGTGTGCACGAGCAAATCAGATTCAAGGGTCTTTCTTCCTTCCCCTGAGGGAAACAGAAAAATGAAGACAGTGGAAAGAGCAAGTACTTCTTGGTCAGAAAGGCCTGGCTTGACAGATTCTACTACTTCAAACTCTAATCTTAGACAAATTTCTTTATCTGTAAACTGAAGTTAATAATAAGTACCTCAATGGATTATCGTGAAATAAATTAAGTAATATGATGCAAGAAAACGTATCTGACCCAGGATTGTTGCTGATCATTTGTTTCTCCTTACTTTCACATTCTGTGAGAACTTTGGGAGCCTGAAGGTAGCATAAGTTCTCAGAGGGAGAGGGTCCTAGAAAGCTAGAGAAAGTTATTGAAAAATAATTGTTTGCCTCCCAATGTAGTACTGTCAGTGCCAACCAAACCCAAAAGATAAAAGTCTCAAAACCCAGAGCATTCCATGCAACCAGGCCTACCTGATTTTTGACAAAGTTATCCAACACATATGATGGAGAAGAGACAGCCTCATCAACAAATTTTGCTGGGAAAACTGAAAATCTGAATGCAAAAAACTGAAACTATGTCCATGTCTTTCACCCTGTACAAACATTAGCTCAAAGTGT